AAATTCATGCCATGTTTTATTAATAATAGATGTGGATGACTGTTAAAGTCAATGAATACTTTAAGTGGTGGTTTACTCAGCTGTTTAAACAAGGCCAAACCCAGTGTCCACAGATAGAAGACAGACCGTAAGATCAGCCCTGAGCTCTTCAAACTTCCTGTAGTGGTTTGGCAAACGCAGACGTTCCGAACATGTTGCTGCAGTTGGTAGGTGGTTTGGTCCTCTGGATTGAACAACTTCCAGTTTCAGGTGTTGAGGTGGCACCTCCCAGCCAACCCAGAATCTCATCAGGTTCTTTAAACTTTCAGAGGACGCTAAACAAACCAAGATAGCAATACAGAATTTGTCAGCAAATTTTTTACTATGTAAAAATTGAGGTACTTAAAAAAAAAACAACACATTACGTGTGAGTACCCTGTTCAATAAATCTTCTAAGAAATGAAGAGAGAAGAGTAAGTGTCTCTTCAGGCATGTCATCTTCACTGTCATCATTTGCAGAGCTTACATGGGGCCATACTGTATAATGGCTTGCAGGACTTGCTTCAATGTTGTACATGGAAAGATATGGAAATGAAAGGCTCAAGTACAGTAGTATAAATGCTCTTACAAATACACATTTCTGAAAAATTACACAAATACGCTACCTGTGGGGTTAACTGAACATCTGATTCTCTGGGAAACAGCAGGAGTACCACATCAGGCCTGTGCTCAATAAGTGGCCAAATGCCTGTGTCTTTTATCCCTTTCCTGAGCTGCTTAATCTGGGCAGTCACTCTACCAAGCACCTGTTTAAAGTAAAGTACTCAGTATAGAGATGGTCAATTCAAGTGTGTTTGGGACTTTAGAGGTATATCAAATGATGTGTATGTATAATGGAGAAGGCACTTGTGATTAGACCTTATGACCTTGGTTATCGCTTATCCAGAAGAAGGATAAACTTATGTAGCAGACAGCTGATGAGGGAGACCTAAACTTTTCTTGCAGTCTCAATTACTCAATTATGTCATACACATACACAACCATACATAGTAGAGGTCGACCGATATATCGGGCCGATATTTAGCATAGTTTCCTAATTAAACATGTCTATCCTTTATACGGGCTTATACGTCGACAACGTCACAATCACTAGGGGCTTATGTTGTCCTTGCATACAAGGCTATGTAATACGACAGTTATTTTATTTTATTTTCTGTGATTCTGATTGTGAATTTGGCTTGTAAGCTATCTGTCTAACAACATAAACAACATGTTAGTGAAAGGTTTTGGGCCTTATACACTATTCATCATACCATAATGCACTTAGTTAATAGTGTTTTTTTTTCTTTCAAAATGTATTAGAGTGTAATTGTTTTAATGTGCATGGAATACTGGAATTGTAGAATGAATTGAAGGTGAAGGCACTATAATAAAAATGCTAACCTTGCATTTTTTCTTCTGATTTAGTTATTGCTGTCTGATGGCTGAACAAAAATCTAATCCTGTATGGCAGAATTCACCAATCCCACACCATGAAAAGCTAGGTGCAATATCTGCATCAGGCTGGTTAGTTTAGGAGCTGAAGAAGGAGTTTGCTGCTAAAGAGATTCTGATGCTGCTATTTTTATTGTTTATAAGTTTAAGTTGTTTACAAGTTGTATTGTGTTTTTGTTATTTAAGTTTATATTTAAATTTACACAAGTCAGTATTCAATAAATGCTAAGTTGAGAAATTTTGTGTATCATTTGTTATTATTAGTGTGATATTTTCTCATGCAAATAGAGGAGAAAACGTCCAATTTTCGGTCAAAAAATATCGGCAGCATATATCGGCCATCAGCTGACCCTGACTCCTAAATATCGGCATCGGCTATTGGAAAAACCCATATCGGTCAACCTCTAATACACAGTATGAGGTGCAATGAAATTTTTATATGACTGTCCATGAAGTGTCAAATATAGACAGAATATGACACTTCACATATTACGTTTAATGCTGCAGTGGAAAGGAGCTGTCCATTGGTTTCTCTCACGGTCTTCTTTGTAAAATCTGATGAGAGCACCATCCCTTTCTTCTTCATTATCTGTTGCATCCAGTGACAGAAAAAGTGATGATTGTCTCCCACCCTCTTGCTTAAGTTGCTCCAGAAAGAGTTGAAGAGCCTTTTGTGGGTCTTGTACTGATTTCCATGCTTAATGAAATAAAATAGACAAACCCGTCACTGTTAAACTGAACAAAATAGAGGAAGGCTCACATTTAGAACTGGACACAAACTCACACTGAAGAAAAATACAAACTCCCAGTGTGAGACTATCATCAGATATGAATGCTCGTAAATGAACAAATGTTTTTCGTGAATGTCAACTGTCTACATGTATGCTCCCCCTTATAAATGTACAGATTTCTCCCTACAGAAAGGCCAAAAGAGTGTTATATTACCATCTGTTCCTGGTGACAAAGGGGAAGCCATTGGAAGCACTGACTGAAATGCAGAAGCTGCAGAGGATGTGCATGGTTCCATGCCAAGGTCAGGAAGACCAAGTGGTCTTGAAATAGTAAAACAGAATATCATTTACAGGTTTTCCGATTTGTACACACATTGTTTATCCACAACAAAATCCAATTTGTTATGAACTTGACTTGTGTGTAAAGCACACTTATAGAAAAGTATGCTTGTGCACATGCACTAGTCCTTACATTAAGGGTGGGGAACCCAGTCTGTGGGGGCCTGTTGTAGGTACAGATTTTTGGGATAACCTTTCAAATCAGTGAACAATAAAGGCTCCTCCCATAGCTTTAAACATCTCATCCCAAAAACTTGTACGAATACCAGCTGTCCATGGAACAGATTTCCCACATCAGTAAATTTATATTATTTTGCAAAAAAATAAAGCTGGATCTATTGCTCTTACCCCTCGCCGCACAAGCTTGCATGTAAAGGCAGGTCTTTCAAAGGGTATGGCACATTACAGATGGGGCAAATCTACAAAACAGGCATACAATAATAACACAGAAACTGTAATGTCTGTCTATTAGGTGAGATCCCGGACTGAAACTATATCAATAATACTTTCATTACCTCACATGGATCATTGGTAACTTCACAAACTGAGTCACTGTCCTGGTGGGGTGGAAAAAACAGGCCAACACCAGCATAATTACAAATGGCTTTAAGTTCTTTACAAACTCTAACAGGTATATATATTGACAGGTACAAAGGTACGTACATCGACAGTTTGCGGACACCCTTTAACGTGAAGTGACAGCAGCTGCACAGGTACATGGATCTGACAGTTGATGCACTTTGCCTTAGGCATCCTGGAAAACTCTTTAGCTGTGAAGGGCAGAGGATTTGTGTCCAAGCTATCCTGGATGGGCATTATATAATAGCAGCTCTATCCTGTATAGCCGTTAGCCAGGTGGGCTCCCGAATATCCCTCTGCCTCAGGTGATACGACATTAAGCTTTCGCTGCCCTGACCCCCCTGTTTAATTGAAAGAGAAGTATTTAGAAATTCAATTGTTAGGAGACAAGTCATTGAAACATATATACCTATACAAGCTGTGAACACAAGATTAACTAAGTGTTCTGTGAATGGTTATGATCTGCAACATTGCTCTCAGCATTGCAAAAAAATACTCTATGATTTGTTCTTATGTATGTGTACTGTAGTGTGTTGTACATTTGCATGTAGAAATAAGTAAGTTCTGACATTGTATTTTTAGTGCACTTCAAGTCAGGGGTGCAAATAATTCTGGAGCTCATTTGCATATGCTGAAACACTGTCATTTTGCTGAAACAAAGGAATCTGCCAAGTCCAAATCTTGAACAAGAAGAAAAATCTTTCATATAGCTACTGCTAATTCACACTGTAAATTCAATTTCTTACCAGCTGCTTTGTACAGCAACCAGGCCCCATCCAGAGCTGCCATTTTTGGGAAGGATTGTATGAGGAGTGCTGAAATCTATGGGATTGAATGTGAAGACAAGTTAAGTTTGATATAAAAAGATGTGGCTAGGGAACTTTTGAGATCATTTCAGTACAAAGGAAATAACCTAGTGCCAATTTTCACACAAGTGACGACAAAAAATACCCACTAAGGAAATTCTAAGAATACTAACAGGGAAATATATATATGAAAATCAAATTTTAGACTTGCCTCAGAATGGTCAGCATCTTCTGGAATTTCAATGGTCCTCCGGCCCAGCCCAGCCTGGAGAAGTACCATCTCTTCACCTGTCTTGGGGGTACGTTCAGTCATTTTGTCCAACAGAAAAAAATGAATAAGTTTGGACTTCATTGGTCTTTTTCGAGGTTTAATGTAGTTTTTCTTCTTAAAGAGACCAGGAAAAGCTCTGGAAAAGGGGAAACATATCAAACACGGCTTCTGGAGGACAATCATGATAAATTTTCAAGAAATTCAAACCTGGCCATATTCTCATCCAGTCTGCTGCATGGACTGCCTGAGGCAGCAGACATGGTTGGCTGAACCT